AAAAAATTTCGAAAATTAGCGATTTTTAAATTTGTAATTTTTTTGGAGGTTTCCCCCATTTACGGGGAACGAGGGCATTTTTTTCAATTTTGAAGGGTAATGTCTTCGACTAGATACAATTTGTGATCTTTTGACGTATCGTTGAAAGAAATCCGTTCGGTGAGAGCTGAGAAAAAGTGGTAACAGGAAAAAAAAAAAAAAAAAAAAAACACATCATAGTAAAACCAATACCTTCTCAGCTTCGCATCGAAGCTTATAATTGTAATTTTGGTTTTTTTATTTTTTTCATACGTTTTGACAAAATTGTTCGTTTTAAATGTTATAATCATAAAGTTTCATAACGTTTTCTTGACCAAGGCACTGTATAAACAATTACCACTAGGCCACCACGCAGTTATAATTCCAAGTACTTATACACTTATAGTGACCGATACATTTCCTTTAAGATTGATTAATAGTGAGGTGTAAGGTTGAGAAAATACAGTGCCATATCAAGTTTAAAATGTCTACTAAAATAATTTTCTAGTCTATAGTATAAAAGATGAAAAATGACCAGACCTGTAAATTTTGGACGTTATTTTGTTAAGTGTCATGATTTTTGTTTTTATTCATATAAAAATGTACCTATTATAAAATATCACTTCTTCTAGACAAAATTAATAATGCTTAAATTATAATCAATTAATGATTGACACTCATTCTCTCAAAAACTATTGAATAATTTTATTTTTTGTAAAGGAATACATTGCTTGATTCAAAAATATCTACGTCCATATGTAATTAAATGATTAATTTTTGACCCATTCAGGAATAAAAAATAAATACTTTATTTATTTTTTTTTTTTTTGACAAGAACTTATATTTTAAGTTTAAATTTTATAATAGAAAAAATTTCAAAAACATTTGTTCTTTTAATAATTTTTATTTGATCAATCATTTGCATTATAAATTGTATATAAATTTAGATTTAAATAAAAATTCATCATTAATTTTGTTTTTTAATACCAGTGATAACAATAATCTGTTTCAATACACTATAAATTATTATCAATATATATTCTTACAATCGTTAATAATAGATATGATAAAAATTGTCAATAAAAACTTATTTATATGACATCATATGAAGAAATGACTACAATTATATGCTAAACAACTATCAGTAGAAATAGGTCAAAAACTGTAAAATTGAATAAACAATAATAGAAAAACGATTCATCAAATAAAAATATTATAAAAACAACATTCTTGTTTTTAACATATCATTCAACTAAAAATAGGGATTTCCATTAAAAAAAATTAAAGTTAAGGTATTGTAATACTGATGGGAAGAAAAAAAATTATTTCAAAATATTTTAATTACTTAAAATAACTACTTATTATTATAGAGCTATTTAAATTTAACAATAGTTCCCTTTACGAAAATTAAATATTTTCAATTGTTTCAAGAAAATAAGTGAAAAATTGAAAATTGAATAAAATAATTTTTAATCTAAAAAAATTAGTTACCTATATGGAAAATCACACAATATTTTAATGATATGCGAAAGTTTAAGAATAACTAAAATAAAATTAAATAAACGGTAGCAGAGTGGAATCGCGGCACAGTTTGGATGTGGCATAATTTGGATAAGTATAGATGATATCTGACAGTGATTAAAATCACTATCGTAACAAACGCTCCGATGCAAATCTGTAGATAGTGTTTAATTTTAAAAAATTGGTTGATTATTCCAAAAGCTACATGATCTCCTATTTCCTTATCTATGTCCTGATTAAAAGTTTTATGATTTTTAAGTGTAATATATGAATATATATATATATTCATATATTCATATATATATATATATATATATAAAGATTCTATATTCTAATATAGAAATATATAAAGGGAAATGGTGTTTAGAAGTATAATATATGAATAAATATTTATTATAGCAATTAAATTTAGTATAAGATTGATATTTAACAATTTAGTATTGTAGTTTTTTTGAAAAATTTATAAAGAATTATAAAGTAGTTATTACTTTTATGGCAAACGTGTATAAAAATTGAAGGACTTAACATAAAACTTATTAAATAATAATTTGTTGTTAATTATGAATAAATCGTTTGCAAAATATTTTCATCAGAGCCAAAAATATACTTTAATTATTCAATTTTTTGTGCTAATTTCAAATAAGCAATTATATTTTTTATATCACCAAAAATAACAACAATAATAATAAATGAAATCTGTAACAATAGAATGAAATTCTATAGACATCTGTGACATAACTGTAAAAACAGCCCAATAAGTCTCATGTTTGTGTAATAGCCCCCAGCTAGGCGTAAAAAAAAATAATCGACATAAAAAAATAAATTGATGATTAAATTAATTAAATTTATTTAAACCCAAATCTTCATAGTACATTTTTAAAAATTTTTTAGCAAATACAATTAGTTGTTTACAATGAGATGAAAAATTGTTGATATTTATTAATAGGGGTGTTTCATTATATAACAATACACTTTGTATTAAACATTGTTTATCATGCGTTACATTTAATGAATTTTTCGATTTGTTATATTTTAGGAATTGTGAAAACTTTTCTACGCATGTTCTTGCATAAGATAGCGTTATTTTCTGTTCACTGATATTACTTTTGCTATTCAAAACATCCAGTGAATAATTTCCAGATTTTATTTCCTCAAGTAATTTTGTTATTAAAGTACACAAACATTTTAAATTCGAATGGCAGTTGTCATGAAAATATTCTCCTATTAGATTATTTAAAGAAATCAATGTTTTATACATTATATCAAACATATTAGTTATCTTATGAACTGTATCAAAAATTTGTCGCACAAAATTTAAATATATTACATCATTACTTTTGACAATTCCCGTTTCACAAAAATTTAACATGAAAATTACATATTCCCAATACTCAAGCAGTATTTCTGTATAATTGCACTTGATCAATCTCAATATATGTTGTTTTTTACAATGAAAATTTAGTTTGTCTGCAGGGTGTCTAAGAATACGATCTACACTTATAACTTGATCATTAAATACAATATTCATATGTTTTAATGATTTCCATCCGTTTTCTTTAGTAATTGTATTTAATTGTTCGATTACGTGCTTTTGACTAATATTTCCATGTATATGAACTGGAGGTTTGAAAGTACTAAAAAATATATACAGTGAGATTTATTAAGTACTTCCTCTCATTTTTTCATTAAATAATATTTTCATAAAAATGTATAGATTAAAATGAAATTAATTTTTATAAATCATTATCTAGTTCATTATCAAAATAATTATTCCTAAATATAGATTTTAGAGGTCACTTTTGAAAATTAAGTAGGAATCTATCTTTACTTATTTTGCTAATATAATGGTTAATGAATTAAATACAATTTTAATTGGTTCATTATCAGTTTGATACATTATTTTTTGAGTTAATATAATTTTTAATTTTATGTAAGAGGCGTGCGCAACGTTAAATTCTTATTAGGTAAGGGATTTAAACTTTCATATAGCGTATAAATATTACCAAGATCATATTTGTTTGTTTATCATAAATAAATAAGGGAAATTCAGGAAAACGAATACTATAGGCAAATTGAATAATGTTAATATCGGTTTTGTAAACTTTATCGTTAATTAAATATTTTTTGATATAAATAGATACTGATTTTTCTAAAATTATTGATAAAATTATATTTTGAGTAATTAAAGTAGTTACACAGTTGATAGTTTTAAAGAACCATAATTATTGGGAAACTCAGAAAATATGATTTTCGTCTATTTAGTGCGCCAAATAACACTAATAAGATACTTAAATACAAATGGATATGGTTCTATTCTATCCTCCACCATATAAAACAGAAGAATTTTGTAAATCAATCGGTAGTACAAAATGAAACAGAATAAATATAAATACGTTAATTTATAATGTTTTCCCTGTTATTCTATAAAGTTTTCAAATAAATTTTCTTACCCTTCCTTAATTGAGTCTTCTAACACTTGTTTAAAGCCAAGATTTTTGTATAAATTTGTAGATATTTCCGCATAATATATGTTAAGCCATTCACTTAAATAATAACTCAATTCTAAGTTTTTATTTTGTTGTGCTTTATAATCTTTTAGATTCTTTTCAAGTAAGCACTTTGGTTTATGATTGTAAACAACTGAAATATTTTTCTCCTTAATATTTTGGTAGGTCTCGTGACCTATTCCCTCGATAAAACTTTTCACATCTAAAATAACCTTACAAGCATCTTTTTTTGTGTTTGAATCGTTTGGGTCGATAAAAATCTGTGTATTTTGTTGACTTTTTAATGATACATATTCGACAAAAGTATAAATTTCATCTACAATAGGTACTGAGAAAGTTTTTTTTGCATTCGCTAATAATTTAAAATCTATGTTGCTAAGATAGTCCATTACATTGTATAACTGTTTAAACATAGTTTTCGAATTTTCCACAACACTTTGAAGTAAAACTGTACAATGTAATAAATTATCTCCCTGGTTGAAGTCATAATATTCTTGACATTGGTTAGCTATAGTGCGAATATGATCAATAAATGTTTTGATGACTTCTGCGTACAAGTAATTCAATATATCAATCATAGCATCGAACTTTTTTGTTAGTATTATACGACTTCCTTTGTAAACAACGTCCTTAATATTAAAACTTACCCCTGTAGAATATTTAATTTCTAAATGCTGCATAAAATCCCATCCAACTTGTTCACTTATATGATCCATTACTCCTGACAAATATTTACAATATGTTTTTGGCGTTATTGTACAACTCACAAAGCATTTTGTAGTTAAAATATAACACAAAGTATAACAAATAAAAAAAAATAACTTGGGTAACATGATTCACAATTTAACATGCAAAAATATTACAGTTAGTAAAAATTTATTAGAACATATTTATTTTTTATGTAAAATATAAATTGTAGTACTTAACAAATTTATATAATTTTAATAATAATATTTTAAGCAAATGCAACAGTTGATTATTTTTAGTTGTTTATTCTTTATTTAAATATTACTTTGGAATAATTGTTTTTTATGTGTGTTATTTAAAAATTTGATTTTACGGACTGCTATACAAATTAGCAAAATACTTACATATGAAATATCAAGTGGACGACTGTTTAGAATAATAAAAAACGTTCGTTCACAATGGATTTTTGGAACCATTCGCTATCGAATGGGGTGGGTCGAACAGTCGATCATTTATAACAATAAAAAGGTTTGACCCTCATACTTTCCTTTTAGGTAAACATATTTACCTAAAATATATCCTTAAATTAATATCGTGTATAATTAATTAAATAGATTAAACAAATTAAGTTTTCGTAAAAGTAGGTATACTCAGAATGAGCCCCTCATTTTTCATTAGATCCCCTAATTGACATAAGGACATAAAAAAAAAAAATTAAGATATATGTTTATCAATAAAATATATTTATTATAATTAATATTATGACAATTAATTATATTGTTATGCAAAACATAAATTAGTTTAAAAAAATATTTAAAATTTACAAACAAAATAATTTCAACTAAATTCACATCAAGTGAATTAAATTAAGAAATTATAAATGTATGTGTTAGTAATAAATTATTGTTATTAAAAAGTAACATATTAAAAATTAATATTTTGATCAAGTTGTATAAATTTAAATTTATGTTGAAAATAAGCAATATATTTTTTTTATAAATGAAAAATAGGCGGTTTTATAAACTAATAGAAACAATTGAATAAACTTGATTATTTAATGAGCAAAAAAAAGTTAATTTTAAATTGAAAAATCGTGTTGTCTACAATCAAAACTAGAATCTATGTTATGAGATTTTGTCACTTTTTTATTTTAAAGGACACATTTTATAGTATTGACGTAACTAAGGGGTTTAATCCCCTTGATGTCATGCTTTCTAGACCTTGGTGGGCTTATACATTTTATAAATTACTATTTAATATTTCATTACAATTTGTAGTAATACAAAAATAATAAAGGTGTTTGGTATTTTGACCAAGGTTGGATATTTGGGGATTTGGTCAGTTCAGGAGCAACAAGGTTCTATCAGGGTTGTAGAGTCCGAGGGTTTAAAACATTAAAGATAAGTAGATATAAAGATATATGTATTAAGTTCCTCTCGTAGAGGTATTAAACGCTGAAGTATTCTTGTAGTGGCCGGGGTCTTGGCCTCCTATCTAACACCCAGTCGAAGTATATGACCAAGCACTAACTAGTTATTAATAATTAAATTAAATGATGTTTAAAAGAATCTATTGCTTTACCATTTGATCGGTAGCTTACGATATTTTAAACTTTGAATAAAAACACTTTATTTTTATTCTATAATATGGACTGTATTTTTTTTATTTGATATCTTTTACATTTTATATACGAAAAACTATAGGTGCGCGTAAGTGAGCCGGACTCATCATTCGCTGTCCGGTTTTCGACTAACTTACAAACAAAAACCTACGCTGCACCGCCCCCCACCTATTCTATAACAAATATATCTAGCGTTTTTTCCCCAATATCAAACAAACCGCCCACTTTGATTAACCAAAATCAATATAAAATTTATCTAACAAATCAAAAATATATATATATATATAAAACATAAAACAAATTGCAAAAACAAAAAAAAACTAACATTCTAAAATAACAAATGGATTACAAATATATTTAAATTGACAAACAATAAATTTTCAATAAATCAATCGACTTCAATTGGCAATGGACTTAAATTTCGAACTGCTCGTAAGTATTCACCAAAAGCGGTTTTTACCCTTGCTGTGCGTATCACGCCATCCTTACCACATATAACACTTAATACTCGGCCCAATCGCCATAACAGTGGGCTGAGATTTTCTTCTTTTATTAAGACGACGGAACCCACTGACAGTTTAGGTCCCTTCTCCCTTGCCCATTTGTAGCGAGTTTGAAGTTGTGAAAGATATTCACTACTCCAGCGTTTCCATCTTTGCTGAGAAAACTTATTTACTCTACGCCAACGGTCTAATCGATTTGACGGAGTATCGCTTACGTCTCTCTCTGGTAATG